GACAGCTAGCAACATTTATGGTAAGTGCCCTTGATGTACTGTACTAGTAGACTTCCGCGGATTTATTGTGGCAGTTTTGATTGACTTACTCAGCTTGTTAGAACCCAATTCTTCTTATTTAAAAAAATACGTACGAAGGTCTAACAGCTAAAAACATATTGATTTCTTTAAATGATATGCATTCCATTTATGATTTTTGTATATTGTTAATTTTGTTTCATTTTAATTTGCATCTTCTACTAAAGTATTTGGGATATATATTTTAAAAATTTAAAAGTTAATAAAATGGGAAAAGAGAACAGACAGCAGGATAATCATAAAGCTATATAGAAAATGCTTTTTGAAAAAGTAAATGTTTGCCTAAAGTTGTTATAACTATAGGACCAAGGTTGATGTGGTTTTTCTAGTTTCAAGGACCCTGCATAAGCTGTTGGATTTATGAAACCATTAATTAATACTGAAAGAACAGGCAGAAAGTAAGGCTTAGGCTGTGTGTCAAAAGCATCTTCAATTATTCTTCCACCGTAGGCTATAAAGCTTTTGTTTTAATTTCTTAAGTGACCAGATGGTTTCTACCTAGGTTTTTGTGATGGACAGTGTTCCCAAAGTCCTTTGTATGGCTTCAGTTAAGTACTGGTTCTTAAAAGTAATCTTACCTGATATTTACTGATGATTCTATAAAAAAAGGAATCAGAGCTGGACAGTTATTGTTTTTGTTGTGGTAGAAGTAGGTAAGGTGATAAGATAACTGAGAAACTCTATTATATGATCTTTAGAAAGGTAAGGAAATCGGTAAATTTTGATATTTACTCTTTATTTTCAATTAACAGAGCCTGCATTGATTCGAATGAAGGCGGGGACTTGAGTAATTCTACTGTATTGAGAAACTACAAAGAGGCCCAAGAATATGGCTCCTTTGGCACAGCTGAGATGTTGAATTACTCCGTTAATATATATGATGATGGAAACCTACTCTCCATTGTCACCAGTGGAGGTATTCTGTTTCAGATTTGCTGATTAAAGATAAATTTAAGAGATGGTAAGGTGATAAAGTCCCATAGCCAAGAGCAGCCTTATAGAGAATTTAATCTAGTGATCCAACTAAAGGACTGGGTCTGGAATCATAGATGTCCTGTGATTCACTGGCAAGTTGGTAGGTTTCTTTAAAGTCATAACCATGTAGGATCCATCCAAGAATACAAGCATGGTCCAGCAGCAGAAAATCCATCAACATGATTCATCTTATGAATGATAATTTCACTCCCAAATATTCACCCTTAAGAAATGAACACAGAGAGTCAGGTAAAAGAATGATCAGTACTGTGTTCTTTGTAATTTCAAAAAGTTGGAAACTATCTAATTACCCATCAACAAAAGAATAGATTATTTTTTAAAAAGTTGTGTTATTTATACTGGAATAATATATAGTAGTCAGAATGAATAAATTTACATATACCTAATGCACAAATCTCAGATACATAAATTTTAGTGAAAAACCATACTGATGATAAAATATATATTAAAAATTTAAAAATATGCCAAATAATACTATACAGTGTTTGTGGATAGTAAAAATATTAACATGGTGGCAAATTTATGTAGTTACACCTGTCTATATAGTAAAAATATAAAAACAGATGGGAAGAATATTGAGGATAGTGGTTACTTCTGGGAATGGGGAGAGGGGAATGAGGTAGGACTGCTTTAACTCTCTAAGCCTTCCTCCCCCAGCTTTACTGAGGTATATTGAAGAACAATAAGTTACACACATACATACACAATTTGGTAAGTTTTGATGTGTGTATACATCTGTGAAACCATCCACAATCAAGATAGTGAACATGTCATCACCCTCAAAAGTTTGCCTGTCTTATTCCTAATTTAGCCCTCTCCCCATCCCCAAGTAACCACTGATCTGCTTTCTGTCACTCTAGATTGGTTTGTGTTTTCTAGAATTTTATATAAATGGAAGATATATATTCTTTTTATTTTTTTGGCCTGACTTCTTTCATTCAGCATAATGGTTTGAGGTTCGTCCATGTTATGATTATAAGTAGTTCCTTATTGCTAAGCAATGTTCCATCATATGGGTGTATATGATTTGCTTGTCCATTCATCCATGAATGGACATTTGGATTGTTTACATATTTGGGTACAGGTCTCTCTGTACAGATCTGTTTTTATTTCCTTTGGGGAGATATCTAGGAAGATTGACCAGGTATGGTACTTGTATATTTAGCTTTTTAAGAAACTGCCTGTTTCCTAAGTGGTTGTACCTTCTACACTCCCACCAAGAGTATAGAGAGTTCCAGTTGCTTCATATACCTGCCAACCTTCGGTATGGTCAGTGTTCTTAATTTTAGCCACTCTAATATAATGGTGATGTGGTATTTTTGGGGGGTGGGGGAGAATAACATTAAAATCCAGCTTTCCTTTTTTGGGGGCAAGGGGGAGCAAAATGAAAAAGGAAGAATTGCCAATATTGGCCCCTATTCTTGCAGCAACACTTGACTAGAGCAGTGGAATCTTAGCATGGCCGCAGACCCGGCTAGAAAGGTCATGTGCTCTTTCTCCCCCTGGAGCTCCAGCTGCTCTCTTGTCACCGGGACACTAAGGCTGCATGCCAGCTGTTGTTCCGCATTGAGCTTGTACTGCTGTCTTTCTGATAATACGGGGCTATTTCTACCCGTGTCTTTACAACACTTTTTTGCTAAAAAAAATAAAAGCTT